ATCTGAGCGGCGAATTTCTGAAAGCAAGAAAGTTGTGGTTTAAAGACAAAGAATTCTTACTAACCGAGCTGGCTTGAAGAATGGAATTTATCGCTCACGATTCTAAAACTAGTCTCTTTTTATGTTGAACGATAGAAGTTATGTCCTGGCAACGCAAATCAAAATACGTCTCCCTCTGAAAACGACTCTTCGGAGTGCCGGTAAGACCAAATAACATTCAAAATCAATACACCCATGCGTCTAAATGCCAATCATTTGGTTACAGTGTATTGCTGGTGTGCACTTGACGTCACGACAGCAATACTGGTGGTCAAGAAACTCTATTTTCATGTAAATTCCTCGAGGAAACATTTTTATTGCATTGACTCCCAACATGGCCGCCTCGTCACGTGGTTGCAAACCAAGATTAGGTGAAATTTTGAGTTCTTTGACCCAATATTTCTTTGCTTTCGCATTTTCATTGGTACAGAATCTTGTATTGATCCCAGATAAAAACAATAGGTTTAAAAATCAAAACACCCTCCCTTGCATGACTGATAAATAACTTAATTCTCTTAACCTGTATGGTTGACCAAATGTAGGGAGAAATAAGACGCTGATGACTATAAGATGTAGGAGTGTTGATAACAGCGTAAACGGACAAGATAACACCTCTTATACTTTACGGTAGATTACCTTGAATTCACCAATTGTCAATTCAAAGGACTTAGTAAGGAGAGCTCCAGAGGGATCTGTGACTGTTACTAATGCTGTAATGTAGGGAGAATTTAGGCTGCGGCAAGCACTGGAACTCACACCAACAGAGAGCTTCCACTTCATGTCAACCAGCTGGGGAAAAGATGTAATTTCTGTCGTTACAACATGTAGTTTGCAAGAAAATGTAGATTTTTGTCAGAAGTGTTGAAAAAAATAAACATCATTATCACCCTAGTTTTTAGGCTAAAATAACAAAAGCCAACAGGCCACAGTGATTTCCATTTTGAAACAAACTAAAAACAGTTTTCCTGTTGTTGAACCTGTCTAATTCAAGCAGACAAAAAAATAAACTACAGTTGAACATCTGCTCAACAGCCACCTAGGAGACAGGGTGGGGATGTTATGGGGAGGTACGGGTGTAACAGGACTCTTCTTTGGTTTTGTTTCTTGTTTTTTTTTTTCCTAGTAAAAGATGGTTATTGTGTCAAGTTCATGCTTACTGTAGCCTGCGAATTACCTGTCCCACATTCAAAGTCTGTGCTAAGTCGGAGCTGCATAAAAGCTTCCCCTGCAAGACAGGAAATGTAAGAAAACTTTTGAAAACAGTAAGTACATGGAAAAGGAAACAGGGCTCAAAATAATGGCTCATTAACGGACGTTGTCCGATCAAAATGGCGACTTGACTGGCCAAAAACTTCATGTGCCAAACACGTTGAGCTAATGTTTTGCTCACTGACCGTGTTGTTTTTCAAATTTTTCTGTTTTCGTTCTCGCTGCACCTGCCTTCATCATAGTAAGATCCCAAATTATTTTTTTCATGGAAGTACAATGTATAATAATCGACCACACCCTTGCCTGTTCATTCCAGACATGTTTTATAACCGAGAGAGTAGCTTCTTTCCAGCAGAGAGACGATTTAAGTTCTGTTATCAGTTTATCAGCAGGTAGTTTAGCTTTAGCAGCAGACCTTAGAAAATTATGAAAGAAAAAAAAAAAGAACACAATTAACAAAAACAAATAAAATATGATAAGAAATTCAGGCTTGCAGTCATCATAAAGGAAGACATGACAATTGCCATTGCCAGGTTTTGTCTAAGACGTGCCCAATGTTTGCGAATCTGAGACATTTCGGATTCTGGATCCCATGCTGTGGATTCCAGATTAAACGTACTCAATTCCAGATTCTGTGCCTGTGGAACTTGGATTCCAAATTCCAATTGTTAGTAGGATCCAGATTCCTTGAGCTGTATTCCAGATTCCATGGCCCAGGATTCTGGATTCCACAAGCAAAAAATAATTTCCCAGATTCCAGAATCCCGATTCCCTTACAAGGGGTGACAAGACATCTAAGATTAGAGAAAGCTAGATGTCTTACAAAACAAAATTAATGTTGATACTCTGAACCACTGAATGTATGAATAGAAAAAGGAGATTGGTTGGTGATATTCAATATTTATTATTACTTTTTCTAATGAAGGCTGTCATGTGACAAAATAGCTACCCTAGCTTTCGTAGTTTAACTTTTTTGTGGTTCAAGCAGAAACAAACTACCAGTACAGGCATAATAGTAATCTTATAATTATCACAATTTTTTTACAAAAATGATGTTTAATTTTTCTCTTTTAAGTAGGGTTTGCTATTTAACTGGGTGAATCGTCAAGTCAGAAGGTTTAATCCTTCTTCTCCCCTACCCTTTACCCTACCTCCATTTTTTTTGCTCTAGTTCCAAATCTTCTCGGAATAACTTAAGTGGAAACGCTTGCTATACAGGCTGGAGAAACGTATTTGAATAGCACTAAGGGCCCCACATCTTAACATAGGAGATCTTCAAAAAATCATCATCAATCTAGACTAATTGTCCATACTGCCTTTTCCTCTTTGCACATACCTGAATATATAACTTATGGCATTAAATATCAGTTTTGCATCATATGATATCCCCGCACTTTGAAGACACTAAAAGATATCATAACAATGAACATAATTAAAACCTGAGAAACCTTTGAGCACAGTTAAAGTGAGTGGGGCAGAAAGGGAAATGTCCAGTCTTGCCCTTGGGATGTGTGAATTTCACTAAAGTTATTTTAAGACCAATTAAACACTTGAACTTCCGATTAATTATTAATGGGAAGTTGGTTTCCTTAGAGGTCTGCGGTTCAGTGTTGTCAAATGATCAGAATTCAACCGTCGTCATTACAATATTCTGCATTGTTTGCTTTGAGGCAGCTGAGCATGGACTTGCTGATGTTTCAAACAATCAATCAATTAAATGTGCAGATGTCTTAAGAATTATTAGACTACAGTTTAATTGCAACCTCTAAAATATTTTACGTGAACTTCACATCATCCCAGCCAATACCATGCGATAGAACTCAGCATTTCGGGTGACATAACTCTGCATCTATGTAATTTGCTGTTTGTAAGTAACCTGTTTTTGTTACAATTTGGATCTAGTAATTTAAAAATAGTGGAGACAAGATGTCCCACTCTCAAAAAAGCAAACTGTTAATATTTATCTTTCTGAATAAAAAGTTTATTAGTGAAAAAAAAAAATCTCTTGTTTCGGGCGACCTGACCATAAACCCAGCTGAGGACCCAGAACAAGGATTTTGAGGCTGACTTGCAGATGGACTAAAACAGAGGTTTCATTTCATCTGTGGCACAGGCTATTCTGTGGCTTAAAATAATGTACAATGCAAGGTTTCAGTACCTTTTGATATTGCTCCAAAGGATATAACGCCAGCTTGTACTGGAGAAATGCTGCCGCATCCTGACACTACAACAAATATTTGACAAGTTCATGAGTCATCACTGTCACATTCTTTGCTCACTTTTACTGTGGGTACCACAGGTTTTTTTCCTGGGCACGTCTGGCAAGATGCTTTGGGGCATTGGGTGTTGTCAACCGTAATCACAATGATTGATTCATGAGACATCCCCTATTATTAAAAACTGAATCATTGGATGATGCAATCCTAGAGCTCTGATTGGCTTAGTCATAATCGTATATGAGCCATTATACCACGCTCTCCAAATATGGAAACTGTATGCATCTGCTCAAAATTAAAAACAAGCTGAAAATTGGTTGTTTCTACAAATAAAATCGGGACGAATTCTTGACATTTTGTGGGCATTTTTAAGAAAACAATTTATTATTCCACTCGCACTTGTTGGATATGAGATGATTATAGCCAACTCGGTACTACGCACCTCGTTGGCTATCTACCATCTCATATCCAACGCACACTCGCGGAATAATTGTTAAGTAGCAGATTATTAAGAGCCAAGTAGTAAACCATCCAGATTCTGGATGTTTTCATATTTAATGGGGTTGTAACAGGCCATTTTACAGCTGTGGGCTTGTGCCCTAGCCTTTGAGTGAACTTGAGTCTGAGGTCAACCTTGTTTTGATACAAACCTCCTACCTTTAATGGAAATTTTGCTTAAAAAATACTAGTTAGCATAAACAACAACATGTTTACATAATAAAGGAAGAAGGGTTGCATCAAAACAAGGTCAACTCCAGCCTCGTTTCCAGCTGTAACTGTAAAATGGACTATTAATGTTATTACGCTATAAAAGAGGAAGTTCAGGGGGGATAGGAGAATTGTACAGAGGTCAGGAAAATGGATAAGGTAACAAAAATAATTATATTCTCACTAAATCATTTAGTAGAGCATAAAAGCTTAGCTACCAAGGTGAAATCAAGTCTCTAAAATTAATGAAGTAGTCAGCCCATACCATTTCAGCCAGAATGTCCTGCGGCAATGAATTCAAAGCTTCCACCGCAGAGTTGAAACCTAGGTATCACAGAGTAGTACACAGGAGTTAATCCTTTGCGTAACGGGAATGCAGATCGAAATACAAAACACATAAAACGTTGAAATACCTTGCGGGACATCTGTAAAGACCAAAGACATGTCAGCTACTAATTCAAGACGATTTGATACGACCCTGGTACTGCAGTAACGCCTCAAAAGTCCTCAAATCTTTGCACGCCTGCGCTATCGAACAGCGGATTCTCGTCAACAAACCAATATTCGTCATTTATACTGAAAGAAACCGTCCCGAATTACCGAAATGTGAGCCTTCAGACAGGAAGTTCAGCGCAATAATCCAAAATGGCGGTCGATCCGGTCGAAGATGATCATTTTTAATTAGTAGAATTGTTTAGAGAAACTAGAGAAAAATATGAAATTGGTAAGATAAAAAGACATTATACTTCCTTTCCTTGTTCGTTTTAAGATCTAGCTTGTAATTTTTTGTCGTGCATTTGTTAGTTTTCTCTAGGCAGGACTAGCTCTTCGCCATGTTTAGTTCTCCAATTCAAGGGAACATCGATCATGCTGGATTGTTCGCTGGATATGTCCACCTTGCAGCATTTCATACCTCTATCTTTAGTGAATAAGTAAGTATCTTCAATGTCACCCTGTAACTCTACCGTTCCAGTTAATTTGGGTGTAGATCTAGGGGGTGGTGAGATGTATTTGTTACAGGTTAAAGTTAACTTCAGGTTATTCCAGCTGTACCCAGCGCCCCCCCCCCCCCCCCC